TGTAGTAAAATTGGAAATGCATTTCTGTAGTAAAATTGATTTGAAATGCATTTTCATGGTAAAATTCATTTGAAATGCATTTCCATAGCAAAATTCATATGACATGCATTTCCATAGTAAAATCAATTTGAAATGCATTCCCATAGTAAAATTCATTTGAAATGCATTTCCATGGTAAAATTCATTTGAAATGCATTTCCATAGTAAAATTCATTTGAAATGCATTTCCATGGCTAAATTTATTTGAAATGCATTTTCATAGGAAAATTCATTTGAAATATATTTCTGTAGTAAATTCATTTGAAATGCATTCTCATGGTAAAGTTAATTTGAAATGCATTTCCACAGTAAAATTAAATTGAAATGTATTTCCATAGCAAAATTCATTTGAAATGCATTTTTATAGCTAAATTCATTTATGCATTTCCATAGCAAAATTCATGACATGCATTTCCATAGTAAAATTCATTTGAAATGCATTTCCATGGTAAAATTAATTTGAAATGCATTTCTATAGTAAAATTAATTTGAAATGCATTCACATGGTAAAATTTATTTGACATGCATTTTTATAGCAAAATTCATTTGAAATGCATTTCCATGGTAAAATTTATTTAGAATAGATATGCATATCGGTATGCATGTACGTATTTCTTTACAAAATAGAATACTGAAAAAATAATAAAGTGTATTTCTCACCTTCAACAGACAGAGTGAACTTGTCTACTCTGCTGACGTTGGTATAAGATGACACAAAACCTAAGGCATGATCTTGAACCCAGTTGACCAATTCGAGTCCACTAGCAAATAAGTTTTCCTTACTCTGGACCACTCGCTGCATCATCACACGATCAGTGTTCACACGGTTGTTGGACTATCATGAGAGGATAAAAAACAAAAGATATTGAAAACTATGTCACATTTATGAAATGGCTTTCATTTTCAAGAAAATATTGAAATTGCACTTCTTTAGTCTAATAATTTAGCAACTGTACAAGGTCTGATAAAAAAGTATCCGGACTGGTGCTATAAAAAGAAAACTACAACATATATCAATTCAGTATTTAATCTCCTTCAAAGTAGTCCTTTTTCTGAAGTTACACACTTTACCCAGCATTGTTTCCAGTGATGGAAACATTCCAGGATATCTGTTTATGGGATAGTGAGCTATTGTCTCTTTGTATTCTCGTAGATTGCTGTGACATCTTGAAATCTTGTTCCTTTCAAGATTGATTTGATTTTTGATGAGGAAAAATGTTAAAGGGAAAGATCTGGCTAATATGGTGGTTGTCGTACCTGGGGAATGTTGTTCTTAGTCAAAAACTGCTGCCCAAGCCATGGTCACTGACAGAATCTCTGTGATATGGTGAGATGACAACATGCTACACACTTTTCTTCCAAACACTGCTATAAACAACAGAAGTGAGTAACAACATTATAAGTTAGTGTGTATGCACAACAGTGTTGAAGGTCATTCTGTGCCAAGTGGCTTCCATCTGCATACTTTAGCTCCATTACCATAGCAACAGCCCTGATACTTTTTGATCAGATTTTGTACCATTTAAAGAAGAACAAAGATGAGCCAAATTCCTATTTTTTCTATCATAAAAATCACCCAAAATGCATTTTCATAGCAAATATCATTTGAAATGCACTTCCATAGTGAAAAATCCTTTGAAATTCATTTCCATAGTGAATGTCATTTAAAATGCATTTCCATAATAAAAAAATCCTTTGAAATTCATTTCCATAGTGAATGTCATTTAAAATGCATTTCCATAATAAAAAAAAATCCTTTGAAATTCATTTCCATAGTGAATGTCATTTAAAATGCATTTCCATAATAAAAAAATCCTTTGAAATTCATTTCCATAGTGAATGTCATTTAAAATGCATTTCCATAATAAAAAAATCCTTTGAAATTCATTTCCATAGTGAATGTCATTTAAAATGCATTTCCATATTAAAAAAAATCCTTTGAAATTCATTTCCATAGTGAATGTCATTTAAAATGCATTTCCATAATAAAAAATCCTTTGAAATTCATTTACATAGTGAATGTCATTTAAAATGCATTTCCATAATAAAAAATCCTTTGAAATTCATTTCCATAGTGAATGTCATTTAAAATGCATTTCCATAATAAAAAAATCTTTGAAATTCATTTACATAGTGAATGTCATTTAAAATGCATTTCCATAATAAAAAAATCCTTTGAAATTCATTTCCATAGTGAATGTCATTTAAAATGCATTTCCATAAAAAAATCCTTTGAAATTCATTTACATAGTGAATGTCATTTAAAATGCATTTCCATAATAAAAAATCCTTTGAAATTCATTTCATAGTGAATGTCATTTAAAATGCATTTCCATAATAAAAAAATCCTTTGAAATTCATTTCCATAGTGAATGTCATTTAAAATGCATTTCCATAATAAAAAATCCTTTGAAATTCATTTACATAGTGAATGTCATTTAAAATGCATTTCCATAATAAAAAATCCTTTGAAATTCATTTACATAGTGAATGTCATTTAAAAATGCATTTCCATAATAAAAAATCCTTTGAAATTCATTTCCATAGTGAATGTCATTTAAAATGCATTTCCATATTAAAAAAATCCTTTGAAATTCATTTCCATAGTGAATGTCATTTAAAATGCATTTCCATAATAAAAAAATCCTTTGAAATTCATTTACATAGTGAATGTCATTTAAAATGCATTTCCATAATAAAAAAATCCTTTGAAATTCATTTCCATAGTGAATGTCATTTAAAATGCATTTCCATAATAAAAAAATCCTTTGAAATTCATTTACATAGTGAATGTCATTTAAAATGCATTTCCATAATAAAAAAATCCTTTGAAATTCATTTACATAGTGAATGTCACTTAAAATGCATTTCCATAATAAAAAAATCCTTTGAAATTCATTTCCATAGTGAATGTCATTTAAAATGCATTTCCATAATAAAAAAATCCTTTGAAATTCATTTACATAGTGAATGTCATTTAAAATGCATTTCCATAATAAAAAAATCCTTTGAAATTCATTTCCATAGTGAATGTCATTTAAAATGCATTTCCATAATAAAAAATCCTTTGAAATTCATTTCCATAGTGAATGTCATTTAAAATGCATTTCCATAATAAAAAATCCTTTGAAATTCATTTCCATAGTGAATGTCATTTAAAATGCATTTCCATAATAAAAAAATCCTTTGAAATTCATTTCCATAGTGAATGTCATTTAAAATGCATTTCCATAATAAAAAAATCCTTTGAAATTCATTTCCATAGTGAATGTCATTTAAAATGCATTTCCATAATAAAAAAATCCTTTGAAATTCATTTCCATAGTGAATGTCATTTAAAATGCATTTCCATAATAAAAATCCTTTGAAATTCATTTCCATAGTGAATGTCATTTAAAATGCATTTCCATAATAAAAAAATCCTTTGAAATTCATTTCCATAGTGAATGTCATTTAAAATGCATTTCCATAATAAAAAAAATCCTTTGAAATTCATTTCCATAGTGAATGTCATTTAAAATGCATTTCCATAATAAAAAAATCCTTTGAAATTCATTTCCATAGTGAATGTCATTTAAAATGCATTTCCATAATAAAAAAATCCTTTGAAATTCATTTACATAGTGAATGTCAGTTGAAATGCATTTCCATAATAAAAAAAATCATTGGAAATTCATTTCTATAGCGAATGTCATTTGAAATGCACTTCCATAATAAAAAGACATTTGAAATGCATTTCAATAACAAATATCATTTGAATTCATTTCCATATCAAATTTAATTTGAAATGCACTTCCCTAATAAAAAAAAATCATTTGAAATGTATTTCTAGAGTAAAACTCATTGGAAATGCAATTCCATAGCAAAAAGTATTTGGAATGTATTTTTATAGTAAAACTCATTGGAAATGCATTTCCACAGCAAAATTGATTTGAAATGCATTTCCATAATAAAAATCATTTAAAATGCATTTTAACTCTGATAATAATTTTAGATGCATATTTTTTACCAAATTAATTTCCATAAAATTTGCAATTCCTAATTCACTTCTCATAAAGATGCCAAAGAAACAAGAAATGCTACTCACATAAATCTCAAGTGAGCCCATAATTTTTCTGGAGCGAATAACCCAAACAACATTGCTATCAGAAGCCTTCAACACAATAATGATATTAACATTTGGGTTCTTTCCATTATGGGGTCGTAACTCTACAATTATTTCATTAAGTGGTGACCCTTTCGATCCTGTTGCTTCAATGATGTGAATTGTTCTAAAACAACAAAAAGAAATCATAATCAGGTTTCATTTCGTCTTAATATTTTCTTTTCTTAAAAAAGGTGCTAACAGAAAAAAATTAATTAAAAAAAAAAATTAATGTCAAAATTTTATTCCAGGTAGAAGATTCCAAATTAGAGTTTGTGACATAGTCAGACCTATGGGTAGAAATAGTGATATAGTCAGTCCTATAGGTGGAAATTGTGATACAGTCAGCCCTATATGTAAAAACTGTGATATAGTCAGTCCTGTAGGTTTAAATTGTGATATCGTCAGCCCTATAGGTGGAAATTGTGATACAGTCAGCCCTATATAATCAATTCTAAAGGCAGAAATTATTACATAGTCCATCCTACAGGTAGAAATTAGAAATAGACAGATATAAAAAAAAACAAAAAAATCATTATATCAATGGAAACACATATAGTAAATATAATCATCATCATATTATAATTCAGCTTATCCTTCCCTTAGTTACTTAGTGTGTACTTACATGACAGCCTGACATTACCTCATAAATAATGGACTATTCCATTTTGATCACATGGAAAGACAGGAAAAGCATATTAGAGATGCTACTTGGTTTCAGTAAGAAAAAGGAAGAAGGGAAAATAGAAATGTCTCCTGTCAATACCACATAAATAATGGACTATTCTGTTTTGTGCACATGGAAGGACGGAAAAATTTAACAAATGCTGCTACATAGTTTCAGTGAGAAAATGAATGAATGAATGAAAGAAAGAAAAAAATGAATGAGTGAAAGAAAGAAAGAAAAGAAAATGAATGAGTGAAAGAAGGAAAGAAAAGAAAATGAATGAGTGAATGAAGAAAAGAAAAGAAAATGAATGAATGAAAGAAAGAAAGAAAAAAATGAATGAGTGAAAGAAAGAAAGAAAGAAAAGAAAATGAATGAGTGAAAAAAGGAAAGAAAAGAAAATGAATGAATGAATGAATGAAAGAAAAGAAAATGAATGAGTGAATGAAAGAAAAAAAGAAAATGAATGAACGAAAGAAAGAAAGAAAGAAAAAATGAATGAGTGAAAGATAGAAAGACATAAAAGAAAATGAATGAGTGAATGAAAGAAAGAAAAGAAAGAAAGAAAGAAAGAAAGAAAAGAAAATGAATGAGTGAAAAAGGAAAGAAAAGAAAATGAATGAGTGAATAAAGAAAAGAAAAGAAAATGAATGAGTGAATGAAAGAAAGAAAAGAAAGAAAGAAAGAAAGAAAGAAAGAAAGAAAGAAAAAATGAATGAGTGAAAGAAAGAAAGACATAAAAGAAAATGAATGAGTGAATGAAAGAAAAGAAAGAAAGAAAAGAAAATGAATGAGTGAATGAAAGAAAGAAAAGAAAGAAAGAAAGAAAGAAAGAAAAGAAAATGAATGAGTGAAAAAAGGAAAGAAAAGAAAATGAATGAGTGAATGAAGAAAAGAAAAGAAAATGAATGAGTGAATGAAAGAAAGAAAAGAAAGAAAGAAAGAAAGAAAGAAAGAAAGAAAAAATGAATGAGTGAAAGAAAGAAAGAAAGAAAAAATGAATGAGTGAAAGAAGGAAAGAAAAGAAAATGAATGAGTGAAAGAAGGAAAGAAAAGAAAATGAATGAATGAATGAAAGAAAAGAAAATGAATGAACGAAAGAAAGAAAAAATGAATGAGTGAAAGAAAGAAAGACATAAAAGAAAATGAATGAGTGAATGAAAGAAAAGAAAGAAAGAAAAGAAAATGAATGAGTGAATGAAAGAAAGAAAGAAAAGAAAATGAAAGAAAGAAAGAAAAAAGAAAGAACATTTATTTTCAAATAGCAACAAACTTTGTGGAAATATAAAAGAGAAGTGATTTTTTTTTACCTGAAAAAGTAGCCTTTGTTATTAGCCACAGCACAACCACCAAAAGAAATTGGAATATATGTGATAATGGCTGCATGAGGGCTGGCAGTTTTCTTCTGCGTGTTGCAATAAAGTGGTGCATTAGAAACTGAAAAAAACAACAACAAAATACAAGGAATTATTCAGATTCATCCTGAGGTGACCCCCCCCTGAATTTTGTATTCCTTTTTTTTATTTTAATTATTTCACCCTAAGCAAATTAGTAACGTCGCTAAGGTGCAAAGTGTTACTGAGAGTGAAAAGAGAAAAGACAATAAAAGAACAGGTTTCATGAAGACAAAAGATAGCAATTAACGTTGCTTTTAAAATTTTAAAGATCATGGCTGACAGGAAAGCAAGAAGCCGGACGAGAGTTCCACAAGTGAGAAGTACGAGAAAAGAAACTATTAGCATAGGACTTACGGTTACATATAGCAATTTCAACAGTAAAACGGTGAGACATAATTGCCAGTCTAATACTACGTCTATATGAATGACGTCAAGGTAACAAGGAGGAATGATCATGAGAACTATTGCTATGAAAATATTTATAGAAAAGACAGAGAGAACCACGTCACGGTGACTGAAGTCGAGATGCCAGGTCAGGACCGATAACATTACAGACTCTTTAGATTTTTCTCAAAAATCTTGATATATATATATATATATATATAATAAATCAAGAAGAAAACCTTAAAGATCCATTTCGGTTATAATTTATTTCGTGAATATTTCAATATATTCAGCTATTCAGACTGAAAGTTCTTAATAAATGAAGACAATTTCTCCGGACAGATATACTAGATTAACAGGAGTTAGGGGGAAGCAAGAGAGAACACACACACACACACACACACACACACACACACACACACACACACACACACACACATATATTATGAAATGGACAAAGTCTGACAATTATTTTAAGACATACATAAGTTTATACATTCTTTTTTATAGATACAAATATTTAAGTAAATGCTCTGTGGCTCAATCGGTAAAAACACGTCAGGCTATATCACGGTTCCGTATAGGTTACAGGTTCGATTCCTGTCGGAGGGCACATATTTTCTATGACAATTTCTCGGACATTCAGGGTGGTAAATACTGTTTATTATAAACAGGGCATTTACTTAAATATTTGTATCTATAAAAAGAATGTATAAACATAAAAATGTCTATTTATATATATATATATATATATATATATATATATATATATATATATGTAAAATATATGGATATAGATCCGACAGTATGAAGAAAATACAGAAAAAACAAACAAAAATCTTAATATGCAATTATGCTGTATTAATGTTAATATAAAGTCGACGTCGGACGTTTCGGTCTATTTAAGACCATCTTCATGGACATTTTCATTTAAACATAATTAACATTAGAACATATAAAATTTAACACAAAAGACGATGGACATACGTGATCATATTTAAACGGAACGCTGATCTTGTATAAAAATTTCAGTTATCTGTTTGGATTAGGATTAGTTCTTTTGTGTTAAATTTTATATGTTCTAATGTTAATTATGTTTAAATGAAAATGTCCATGAAGATGGTCTTAAATAGATCGAAACGTCCGACGTCGACTTTATATTAAAATTAATACAGCATAATTGCATATTAAGATTTTTGTTTGTTTTTTTCTGTATTTTTCTTCATATATATATATATATATAGTAATCCGTTGGTATAATCCAGGCGAGTCCTATTAACACAGCATAGAATTTGAAATATGTTAAAACGGACTCACAAAAGAGCGTCCAATGATTATTTTCATTAAACTAAGCATTTTCTTTACAATTGGAATTAAGATACTTTTAGTAAATGACTATTTTCACCTACGAATTTTAATTTTAAAATTCGCAGAATTTTTCAAACCTTTTATGGTATTAATTTGTAGTGTATATATATATATATATATATATATATATATATATATATATATATATATATATATATATATATATATTGATACCACAGAATGCATAAAGAGATTTAAAGAGACACAATTTAGTGTTCATCTTTATTTATTTTTATATTTTTTTTAGCCTAGGCACCTTTCGGGCGAAACTTCGTCAGGGCCCAACGTTAGCGGAATTATGACTAAATTGATTTTAAAATTAAAATTCGTAGGTGAAAATAGTAATTTACTAAAAGTATCTTAATTCCAATTGTAAGAGTGAATAAGTGGAGGAATATTTGGAGCAATTTATTTTTTAGACATGCTCCAAATATACCTCCACTTATTCACTCTTTCTTATACCAATTTAGTAATAATTCCGCTAACGCTGGTCCCTGACGAAGTTTCGCCCGAAAGGTGCCTAGGCTCAAAAAAAAAAAAAAAAAAAAAATGAACTTAAAAGCATTTTAACAAAACAAAGTATTTCAAAACATTTTATTATAAGCATAAAATGCTTTTTTATTATAGAAATCATTGCAAACATAACCTTAATAGGAGGCATAATAAAAAACCGTTTTACCATAGCAAGGCACTACAACCAGTTTTAGTAAAATAAAGTGTTCTAAAAGTCTTTTACTATCGGTAACACCAAAAACACTTAACATTGGTAATCATTGCAAATGTTTCTTTCTTGCTTCAGAAAGCATAGAAAAACGCATTTTGCCAAAGGGATGCATTTCAAACAGTTTTACTAAACTATGATAAATAGTTTTTACAACAGAAAGAATTGCAGACGATTTTTAAGATGGCGGCATAGAAAAAGATTTTCATCAAAACCAAGAACCAAAAAATCTTTACTACAAAAAAAAAAAAAAGAAAACATTTTTTAACATAGCAAAAGATTTTACTTATGAAAGCGTATAGAAACAATTTTTATCATAAAGCACTACAAACAATTTTATTAAAAGCATTGCAAGCTGTTTTTGACCATAGAGGATATTGCAGACGATTTTTATTATAGGAAGCATTGCAGTTGACTTTTATTATAGGAAGCATTGCAGACGATTTTTATTATAGGAAGCATTGCAGACGATTTTTATTATAGGAAGCATTGCAGTCGATTTTTATTATATGAAGCATTGCAGACGATTTTTATTATAGGAAGCATTGCAGTTGACTTTTATTATATGAAGCATTGCAGACGATTTTTATTATAGGAAGCATTGCAGTCGATTTTTATTATAGGAAGCATTGCAGTTGACTTTTATTATAGGAAGCATTGCAGACGATTTTTATTATAGGAAGCATTGCAGTTGACTTTTATTATACAGGGTGAGGCATAAATACATGCTATATATACCGCCCAGAAATACCTCCCACATAATGGTAAGGAATTAGCTAGATGAAGACACCATTGCCATTAATGTCTTACTATTATATGGGAAGTATTTGGGAGGTATTTCTGCCGTACCCCGTAGAAGGCAATGCGGTAAATGATACACAAAATACAAATGTAAACGTTTGGCAACATACATCGAGGAAGTTTTCAAAACTTCAGCTGATGATTCATTTGAGAGGCAAAAATCAAATTTGAGCACGAAAATTATAATAAAAAAAATATTTTTTTGTACCTGGACCAACACGGGCTCTGATCAGTCGCGTTCCAGCTTTGAATTTAGTGAAGGAAGTGATAGCATGATACTTGCTGTTAACCCATTTAAAAAGAGTCTTAGCTCTTGTGGGGAAGTCACCACGTTTATTGATGTCCACATAGTCAACTTTCTTGCTGAACCTCACAGCTGAACGTAAATGTGTCTGGATTTTATGAAAAATAGAAAGAAGAAATAAAACATTAATCCCCTTAAAAACAAAAACAAAAACAAAAAAAAAAGGATATTTGACAGTGAAACAACAATAACTGCTTTTACATAGCAAAATGTTAACCTTTCTACAAGAGTTATATAGTTGTGGAGTAGTGAATAGGTGTACTTTTTTTGCTTGCCAAATTTAAAATGAATTAAATCTATATATAAAATTCTGTGACTTCCGTTTGTCCGTCACTTTCTAAAATAGCTATACATTGACCAAATTTTGGGAAGAAGTGCAAACAGGTAAGGGAGTACAAATATAGTTGGTTTTGCTAAGGTACGTAGCTTAGTACAATTAATTTTTATTAATTTTTTGGAAAAATTAAAAGTTTTATTATTTAACATACAAAATACTTACACTATGGTAAAAACAAGTTAATAATTAAAATAACAAATACTTATGTAATAAAAATCAATATTTTTCCATATCTTTTCTTTAAGTTTTTATATATACAAGAATCTATTTTCAGTTCGTCCTGCGTCTGCGAGAACTATTAACAAATCACAAGGCCAATCGTTTCAAAAAGTTGGAATTTGACCCCAGAAAAAAATATTTACGCGTGGCCAGTTGTATGTTGCATGCTCAAGAGTAAGAAATCCTAAGAATTTATTCTTTGCTGTTAAAAAGGAAAAAAAAAAGAAATGTTCTTGAAAAATATTGGTTACCATGAAGTCCAAGAAAATTAAATTATAGAAATTATTAAACCGCAAAACAGGGTTTTTTGTCAAAGTATATTTCGAAATAAATCAGCTTATTCAAATTCCATCGATTGGCTTGCAAAATCGAACGAAACGAAGAGTTTGTAAATGTTGATAAAAAATGTTAGCGATAACTTCAACAATATACTGTAAGGATTTCAACATGTTTCAGCGTGTTGCAAAAAATACTAGTTGTTTTAAACTTTGCAGGATTTTTCTTTTACCTTTTAACATAAATTCTCATTGGGTTTGGAACTAGTGATGCCATCTTGATTTTAGGTGAACAGAATGGTCTGTGATCACGTAAATAAACAAAGTCATATTTTCCAGCAATTTGGCTGATATCACAATAATTAAATTGTTTTCTAATTAAATTGCTTTCAAATTAAATTGTTTTCTAAATTCGGTGTTTTCTTCTTAAACTGCTGGTGTGATTTTGTCTCCTATGTATGTCTTTATTCTTGAGGCCTTTTTGCAAGACAGTCTGTTTTTCGTAACATATCTGGAATTTCACATCAATATCCCAACTACAAAAGGAGCAATTTCTGTTGCAGCGACTCGGAACGAGAATTTGGCGAACCGAGTTCGAACTCCGGCTGAGTTCGTTATATTTACTTTCGCACAAATAACCTTGAGGTAGAAGGGGAATCCATCTCTTCTCTCTTCACCCAGGTATTAAATAGAAGGGCGGACTGAGACAAACACGGACAGACTAAGATAGATAGATAGATAGATAGATAGATAGATAGATAGATAGATAGATAGATAGATAGATAGATAGATAGATAGATAGATATGAACAGACCGAAACAGACGGATAGATATAAACTTAGATAGATAGATAGGTATGAATAGGGATAGATAGATAGATAGATAGATAGATATGAACAGACAGAAACTGAGATAGATAGATATGAACAGACAGAAACTGAGATAGATAGATAGATAGATAGATAGATAGATAGATAGATAGATAGGTATGAATAGAGATAGATAGATAGATATGAACAGACTGAGATAGAAATACACACTCGAAAAAAACGAAAAGCACTCCGCATCTACCAGTGAACTGACATCTCTGTCACCTAATGGGGAGAGGAGGGGTATTCAACTAAAAAAGGTGGGGAAACCATAGAGTAAAGTTCATCAGAACAATTACCATCAAAATATTTGTAGAAAAGGCACAGGGAAGTTAGGCTACGGCGGTGAGAAAATGACTGAAGCCGAGATGCCAGGTCAGGACAAATAATACTGCAGATTCTGTTTTGGATTTTATCAAGAATCTCTAAATATATATCATGATCAACAGACCAGGTGTGACAGTAATATTCAATGCATGGACGAATGGTAGATTTATAAATATGTAAAATAGATTCTGACAAGAAAAAATTGTCTAGCTCCACACAGGGAGCCAACTTTCCTAGATGGTGGAATTAAGGAAAGTTGCTCGTCAGAACATTTCTCCATGAAACAGCGATAGAGTAGCGATGGGATTGTGAGCCCGTTCCGACCAGAGTTGAGGGGACGGAGGTTTGACATAAGTTGGGAAAAGAGGTAGGGAAAGAAATTTATTCTACTTACTTTTGTTGCCTTCTTTCGATGAGAGTTGGCAGAATCTTGTCTTCTCGTAGTTTTCCCTCTTTAAGAAGAGTTCAAACACATTCATCATTTCGTGCTTTGGCTAAAGTTTCCAATTCAGCTGACAGATCAAGTCTTCCCTCATCACTCGACCCACCACATGCACAACTACAAACATGGGGGCGCTATAGAGAGTGAGGGAAGTTAGTCTAGCAGAATAGGGGTACTGAGTTCAATCCTTATTGGATACACCCTTCTGTTACACTAATCTTTCTATTGTCCTTGCTCCTGAACAGTGTTTTCTCATGATCTATGACTCCCCTACGATTAATTTGCGACGGCTCTACTTCAGTTTCTCCCCTCTTTAAATATTTACTGATAAATACAGTGTAACCTGGATATAAGAGAAACCCGGATATAAGAGAGATTTTATCTGGTCCCAAATTAGAGCCTGTGTTAATGTATATAAAATAGACCAAACAGGGATATAAGAGAAACCCGGATATAAGAGACTTCTTCTCCGGTCCCGACAACTCTCTTACATCCGGGTGACACTGTATTTATCTTTATAGATTAAATCTATATTTATAGGATATAATTTATTTAATATTTATATTTATTTATTAAATATTTATTTATTATTATTTACAGAAGCAATCTGGGATACGTAAACCTTAAAATAAATGAATATATAGATAATTAAATAAAAATAAGTTGCAATTTGTTAAAATCTATTTTTATAACAATATACCATATACAATATAACAATATAAATCTATTTACCAATAATAATATAACATATTATATACATATTATAATATACATATTATAATATTATACCTCTAACAATATAAATCTGTATAACAATACAATATAAATATAACAATATTATATAATATATATTATAATATTATAATATACAGATATATTATACCTATAACAATATAAATCTGTACAACAATATAAATATAACAATATACCATATAGAATATAACAATATAAATCTGTTTTCTATAACAATATAACATATATAACAGTATAAATCAGTTTCTTATAAAATTGAGTTGTTCTGCCGCTTATATATAAGTTATTAGAGAAACCTATGAATTGGGATATATTTAAAACATTTTTTTCACTAATGTTCACCTAATAGAAGGCACAAGGGTCACTCAAGTTAGAGGCTTACCGTGTGGAATTTTTATTAGCATATGAAAGGGCAAGATAACAGTAAAGATAGCTAATTCTAAATTTGAAGAGGTCGAGATGTAATTAGCGAATAAAATTTCAGAGTTCAAGTGGAGACCTTAGAAGTATAGAGCTGGAAGTAGACGTTATAAGGAACCGGAAACCCAATCCCAATCAGGAAATAAAGGATGAACCTCTACTCCTGTTCAAAAGACCAGGGAGGTATATGAACCGGATGGGAGACAAACCTATCTATTCTTATTGGGAGTGGAAAAAAAATAATTACTGAATAAAATTTCAGATTTCAGGCGGAGACGTCAGAAGTACAAAGTCGAAGAAACTGAAAACACAATCACTAAACAAGAAACAAGGGATAAACCTCTACTTCTGTTCAAAAGACCGGGAAATAGTGTGAACCGGGCAATAGACAAACCTATCTACTCCAACCTGGAGAGAGAAAAATTATTGAATAAAATTTCTGATTTCAGGTGGAGACATCAGAAGTACAAAATCGAAGAAACTGGAAACACAATCACTAAACAAGAAACAAGGGATAAACCTCTACTCCTGTTCAAAAGACCGAGAAAGAGTGTGAACCGGACGGTACACAAACCTATCTACTCCTACCTGGAGAGGGAAAAGTTACTGAATAAAATTTCAGATTTCAGGCGGAGACATCAGAAGTACAAAATCGAAGAAACTGGAAACACAATCACTAAACAAGAAACAAGGGATAAACCTCTACTCCTGTTCAAAAGACCGAGAAAGAGTGTGAACCGGGCGATAGACAAACCTATCTACTCCTACCTGGAGAGGGAAAAATTACTGAATAAAATTTCAGATTTCAAGCGGAGACATCAGAAGTACAAAGTCGAAGAAACTGGAAACACAATCACTAAACAAGAAACAAGGGATAAACCTCTACTCCTGTTCAAAAAATCGGAAAGAATGCTTATCTGGACATGTTTTGCCAATGTCGGTCTGATTAGACAATTCGTTTTTGTAAAGTTAGTGATGGCATATATAACGCAGTGAGTTTAGCCTTTAAAATTTAAAATCCTGTTTTGAGGAAACAATTTTTTTTTTCTCAAATTGGAACTCGGAGGCATTGCGACTGGGGATCTAGTCTCACAGATAGAACCGTTTTGTTCTACGTTGACGGTTAATCGCGGTACGTAAAGCGAGGACTCCGACAATGGCCGTTGGAACTTGCCCATGTTTTTGCTTGTCTCATCATAAGTAGCGGCCTTGAATCATGTGTCGTACTGGAGGAATTGGATACGGATCCGCCTACACTAAAGAGAAAACCATGAATCACATCATGGAGTCACAAATATCACAGAACTGAGGGACTAAAAGAAAAACTGCGTGTGTGTATTACACGCCCTAACACAAACAAGCTAAATGCAGATAGTGGCAGACTGGCCCACCGGGATACCGGGAAATTTCCCGGTGGGCCCAAAGTGCTGGTCCATCATTTAGAAATGCACCCCCCCCAAAAAAAAATAGATAGATAGATAATGGACAGAATGAGATGGACCGATAGATAGATAATAAACAAAATGAGATAGGCATATTGATATGAAAAACATAGATAGATAGATAGATAGATAGATAGATAGATAGATAGATAATGAATAGATAATATAGATATGAGATAGATAGATAGATAGATAGATAGATAGATAGATAGATAGATAATGAAAAGAATGCGATAGATAGATAGATAGATAGATAGATAGATAGATAGATAGATAGATAGATAGATAGACAGAATGAGATAGGAAAAACAGAGATAGATAAATAGGCAGGCATGGTAGAGAAATGGATAACAGCTCGGACTGATGAATCGGGGAGCCGAATTCGAATTCCGGAAGAAGTATTACACACACACACATATATATATATAAACACGCATGTATGTATAAAGAGTTAATGGTTTTATTTTTTAATCCGACATTTGTTATTACTTCAGACGACAATATAGCGGATACTTGTATTTAAATAGATGCCACCTTTTAATTTTTACTTTAAACAGTGTGTATTACGTCTATTCACCTGCGAATTTGAGGAATCTTTACAAAGAAAATGTGTTCTCCCTTTGTCGGGGGTACCACCGATTAATCCGACGCGCTTTGACGCTCTGCTTCGAAGAGCGTTATCAAAGCACTCTTCTCCCTTTATATATATCTATATCTATATAATAAACGCCATTGTCAGTGTGTCACGTTTTTTTCAATTAAAGGGACACAACTCTCAATAGCCCATCTTCTTCTCTATAGTAAACGCTAAAGTCAGTGTGGTGCACATTTTCCCTTAAAGGGACACGACTCTCAATAGCTCATCTCTTTTTTCAGTGAACTTTTCAAAGGTCAGCTTTAATAGTAATGCTATGTCACGCTTTTTAAATTAAAGGGACATAACTCTCAATAGTCCATCTCATTCTATATAGGAAATCCTAAATTCAGTGTGTTATATATTTTCAATTAAAGGGACACGACTCTCAATAGCTCATCTCTTTCTTTGGACTTTTCAAAGGTCAGCTTTAATAGTAATGTGATACTTAAATGCAGCGATCAATTTTTTCTTCTTTTGTAATTTATTGTTGCCTATCGCATCTACTCCTCCCTACCTATTGTGGTGAAGGCTCAATCAAAAGCCCTCCGCATGAGCTAGCATAAATGTTGCCCGATAGGGCGGCTTTTAAGTCGTATATATATATATATATATATATATATATATATATATCCATGGATATATATATATATATTGTGTGTATTTAGGCAGCATATTTTCATTTATACACGTTTCATTAAATAATATAGACAAGTGTTGTCTATTTATTTTATGTAAAATTTGTTCGTAACATCTGATAAGTTTGATAACATTATCATTAAACGAAGAAAGAAATTCACAATTTTTTTAATATACTCTAAGCTTTCGGCTTACTTAAGCCATTATCAAAGATGTAAATCACAAACATATTAAACAATATACGGACACGGCAGTGATGATAGTCTGTCATTGTTTTACATAGTTAATCACTAAGCAACGATAAACACGCGCATAAGACGCTAGAAGCGAAAATCGCACAACATCTCATGACGTCACACATGACTACACGAGAGTGAATTGTAGAATGAAATAGGGAAAGCCGTTGGTATAAACCAATGGCTTCTGTTACCATTATAGACATTTAAGAATATTTGTAGAGATGCCATAATTGATTTTGTTTAGGTTAGGTTTTAACTGTTTGATGTATAATGCTTCAAGTATTTTTTAGTTTTTGTCTATTGTTTTCATGTCGAAGTATAGTTGTGTTTTCGACAAGTATTTTACAAATTGTGTGTGCGGGCAGGCATGTTGTTTAAATGCCTAAAATGTTAGAGTTTTCATTAAAATGTAGTGTCAAGCGTCGTGAAAGCGAGTTTGTTTATGTTGGTCACACACAAACTCGCTTTCACGACGCTTGACACTACATTTTAATGAAAACTCTAACATTTTTAGGCATTTAAAACAACATGCCTGCCCGCACACACAAGGTTCTATAGCCTTGGATGGCAACTGGTCTAGAAGAAGGACAAATCTGAATTCAAAACCTGAGGGGGATTGTTTGGGGACCTTGTGGCACGTAGTGCACCAGGTCACTGTATTCGGCCCTTCAAAAAGTGTGGATGAAGCCTTCACCAGTATAATCGAATCTTATGTGCCAGTGTCGGACTGTCGGTTTCCTGGTGCATGTAAACATTTCAGATAGAGTATATATGTGAAAGGACAATATGAATAAAGACAAAAGTTAAAATATCTTAACCGACGCGTTTCGTCATCTGAGGGACTTTATCAATACAAATGTAAGGATTTTATTTACTCATCACGTTAACGGCAATATCAGGCAATTTTATGGTGGACTGGAAGTGATACAGTTCAATGTCAAATAAACGAAAGTGAGTAGGTATATATATATATATATATATATATATATATGTGTGTGTGTGTGTGTGTGTGTGTGTGTGTGTGAGGCACGGTGGGGTAATGGATAGAGGCTCGGATTGAGGAATCGGAGAGCTGCTATCCATTACTTCATTACATTCACTTTCTACCACTGGGAAAGGTATGAATCCTCTTCTTCTCCCTTGGGAAAGGTATGAATCCTCTTCTTATCCCTTGGTAAAGGCATGAATCCTCTTCTTCTGAACATTCTAGTAATTCATAGATACGTTTACGTTTGGATACGCTTCGAGCAGATATGAACTTTCAAGGGAAAGCATGGGAAATTGTAGTGTAAAAGCAGTAAAAACGACCTTGCTAACCAGACGCTCCTCTGTAGCTAAACTGGTATAGCACATCAGGCTATATGATACAGGTGTAGGATACAGGTTCGATTCCTTTTCTGTGAAAATGTATCGGACGTTTACGCCGGTCAGTATTGTTAATACTATTTTCTATAAACGGAGCATTTACTGAAATATTTGTATCTATATAAATACCGTATAACAACAAAATATATTCAAATAAATTTGCTATAATTTAACGCGTTTATTTATTTTATAACTCTTCTGGACTCATAGATTTAAAAGTTGCTAAGTGAAAACAGTTTTTAAACTCGAACAAATTTCAAATTTGTTTGGTGACTAAGATTAAAGTTTTTGTGTAGCGTACATAAGTATAATATGTTAATGATTCCAATACACGAGGGGAAATTTAAAAACGTCTTCAAAGATGGGTTCTTTGAACTGAACTTTTCTTCACCTGTCAATTATATATATATATATATATATATATATATATATATATATATATATATATATACTGTGTGTGAATGACTATATATATATATATATATAGAGAGAGAGATAAAGATAATATTAGTAGTCGATATATATATATATATATATATATATATATATATATTTTCAAGAGGATAGAATCCAGGTAGAGCTCAATATCCAAGCCAGAGCAAGAATACAATATAAAAAACTCAAAAATAAATATTCTATGGTTCTAATTTATTACACTGGACTCGTAATCACAATTCATCAGACCTACAAATTCAAAAAATTTGAATTTGTAGGTTTGATGAATTGGATCGGGATTACGATTCTAATGTAATAAATTAAAACCATGGAATATTAGTGTTTGAGCCTTATACACACACACACACACACATACACACACACACACACACACACATGAAGGCTCAATCAAAAGCCCTCCGCATGAGCTAGCATAAATGTTGCCCGATAGGGCGGCTTTTAAGTCGTATATATATATATATATATATATATATATATATATATATATCCATGGATATATATATATATATATTGTGTGTATTAGGCAGCATATTTTCATTTATACACGTTTCATTAAATAATATAGAGACAAGTGTTGTCTATTTATTTTATGTAAAATTTTTTCGTATCTTCTGATAAGTTTGGTAACATTATCATTTACCGAAAAAAAAAATTCACAATATTTATCCATTATTTTTAATAAAATTTTACATAAAATAAATAGACAACACTTGTCTATATTATTTAATGAAACGTGTATATATATATATGCATATATATATATATATATATATATATATATATATATATATATATATATATATATATATATATATATATCAGGGAACCGATTTTGCTTGTAAGAAATATTCTTGGCGCGAAAACGAGTTTGGAGTTGTAGCAGCTGTGACAAAAACCACGCCCTGGAACAATGGTTTCAGAATACAACAGTTAGGAAATACTTTGATGATCAGTGAAAGACTACATTCTCATCTTGTTTCTCCAGAGGAAATGTCCCTACTTTTTTTTTTTTTTTTTTTTTTTGGCTAGAGTTTTTCCACCGCTCAATAACAACAGTAAAATAAGAGAAAAAAAAAATGATTCTTCATCTGGCTGTCTTAAGTCTATAGTCGATCACGGATACTAACTTTCAGAAGTTATCGTGCTGGACGAGTGAGGATCGCTACGTCATTCAACCAGCTAAAAAAAAAAAAAAGTACCTTTCTTTATAACACAATCAAAAAACTTCACTGAGTTCATTTGAAGTAAGTGTTTACTAACCTTACCTACAATATTAAGACATCCAGTAGAAGTTAAACTTGTAATATCATTTCGTCGAAACTCCTATAAGTATAATATCTGTAAATAATTTCAACATACGAGCGGAAATTTAAAGACGTTTCCAAAGAGGGGTTCTTTACCTGTCAACTATATATATAATACGTATAAATATATATATCTATGTATATATATATATATATATATGTATGTATGTATATGTTGAGGGGTCCACCCCTTTTTATACAAATGGACTCACCCAGTGTATACTTAGACTACTGCGAGTGAATACCCGAGAGCAAGACCGAAGAGTCGAGTGCGGAGTGACAGAGTAAAAGGTTGTAGGTAACCGGAAGAGTGAGGGTGAGGTAACAGCGTTGTAGGAGTCACAGTGAGCGAGCACGTAGACTCAGTAAGAAGTCATACAGCGATACTTCAATACCAAAGACTGTATAGATATTTTGCTACTAACCCGTATTCCTAGAACTACTAACCTGCATTACCAGTTTGTATTATTACGTTAACACATTATTTTACTATATTCATTGGCGTTTGTTATTGGTACGGATTTCAACCTGAATCCACAACAGTATATATATATATATATATATATATATATTGTGTGAATGACTATATATATATATATATATATATATATATATATATATATATAGAGAGAGAGAGAGAGAGAGAGGATAATATTATTAGTAGTATATATATATATATATATATATATATATATAT